GTTTCCAGATTATGCGAAGCACTTGAATTCGTCGCACCGTAGCTGCTACCGGGGAAGGTCCTCCTACAACAGCTATGTCGAACAAGGGAGGAGTGGGACCAGCCATTGGAATAGCAGGATCGGGCAGATTGGGAGTAATGGTTAACAAGCGTAGGCAGACTGGGTGATATACGGATCCCGCAAGGAATCAGCCGAAGCAGTCAAGTGACGAAGGACTTATCCTCCGACACGTCCGAAAACGGAAAACGGGGCAGTAGCCTACGTATGTTAGCAGCATGTGAACGATGAGCGCAAGACAAGCACTGGTCGCCCCATTGAAATGTATATCGATACTGCGCGTCGCACTGACCGCGGCAGTGCTAGCTGTAGCATAACAATGCAACCGTGACAGTAATTCAGAATATTTACAGAACGCGTCACATTCCTAACCGACTCTGCCATTGTGATACACTATGTGAACAACTTCAGTACTGGGGTTAGCACCTTTGTTTTTAGTGGACTGATACTAGTGCACAAAGAGACAAAACTGCACCAATGGTGATACGTCAAATCTGCGGACAAACCAGCGAACCACTGCTCCTGGGACTTGAAATCATTGGAGAAATTACCCGATTGGCTCTATAGTCCGGCATTTCTGACGCTTGCGTCAAAGGACGAGAGATAATTTCTTACTTTTGACGCCTCCGTTGAGTCAATAGAAGTCAAAAAAGTGGCAATGACGACGAAGTGCGTTGTCCAATTCCCTTTTGAGGAAGCTGGAGTGCTTCTCAACTTGGGACAAACTCATTCGTTCAGACTCTTGGTGGGCGACTTTCAAACCAATGGTGATGATAATGACCGCCTCTCGGCTCGATGAAATGCTGAATATGGGACCCTTATCGACAGACGACCTAATGAGAGCCGAGAACAATGTCGTGAAACTACTTAAACAAGAGATCTTCCTCTGGAAACGACAGCGTTGCAAGAGAGTACACAAACGAACCCAAATAAGACTCTCTGCCTAGACTAAACGCTATAATGGTGGAGTGGTTGCTACGCATTGGAGGGATATTAGAAAACTCATCATTGGCATTCAAAACTAAACACCCAATCATCCTGCCGGCAGGCAACCATTGTAACGATCAGAAACGCGATTGTCCTGGTCCGAGCGAAACGAAAAAGACCTCGTCTGTATGCATTCAATCAAATGATCCTTCGCTCGTTCCGGATAGCGATAAACAAATCTCAGAGCAGCGCGTAGCCCAAATTCTCTAGAACCAAGTAGATCCAAAAATAATCTACGGTACTATTTTTACATTATTCACAAATACATAAGGCAGTCATTCCTCTGATAGTGAGATTGATTCACTATCCAGCCAAAATGTTACAAATATTCACAGAAAATATCTTTCAGACAATTCTAGACCAAAAGAAAACTTCTGCGCACTTCAACAGAGCAAGCAAAATAATCTTGAGCGTTAAGGCCAAAAGGGGTTCAATATAACCGAAAGCAACGGTTAGTTTAACAACGAGCGTCCAGTCAAAACTTTGGTCACAGTAAAACAAGAAAAAGCACTGAATCTCATTTACATGTAAGAGCAAAGCACTTGAAGTGTGTCCAATAGATATGCTTCACCGTAACAAAGGTGAAATAGAAGGTTCAGAAGAGAAAATTTACCGACATGAAAACCACTGTCGGAAAGAATGCATGATAGAATGGCGAAGAAAGATAAGGAAATGCAAGTTAATTGCGAGGAATTTTCAGTCTTTTTACTGTGACAACCATGTCATCACTTCGCCCATAAGCCACCTCCTGGTATGAAACGGGAACGTGGGCACTAATCATCTATTGAACGCCGAAAAAGGTTCAGGATAACACGATGTAAGACCAAAATAAAGGGAACTATAGGCAGATACATATCTTGTGGTCGACAGAATGTGGTAGCCGGAAAGCAACCGATGGTCCCCTACCAGAATTTAGGGTCCGAGCGGGTTGCTGATCGTTTGTGGAGATAGAATTAGACTAATTCCGGTCCCTGTTAGTGAAGTATGAGCGATCGGTTGCGAAGAGGCACGGGCGCTTATTTACCTGTATGCAATCTCGTGCAGTGCACTTGGAGATAGTGCAAAACATATCTGCTGAATTTTTCTTAATGGCGCTTTAAATGTTGACCAGCAGACGCGGGGTCTCGACCAACATCTACTCGAACAACAGTTCCAACTTTGTGGGCACATCCAACGAGCTACAAAGATTGCTGTCTCGAGTGAACCAGAGTGAATTACACAAGCGATTGGCTGCCCAAGGCATTCGTTGGCACTTCAGCCCACCGTACGCCAGCAGGGGCAGGGTGTGGGAATGTATGATAAGGTCGGTGAGAAGGATCCTATTAGTGGTGTGCAATCAGTAGTCCATTTACGAAGAAACCTTGAGTACAGCCCTAATCGAGGTAGAGCGCATACTTAATAACAGACCCCTCACGCAGATCACGAATAAAGCTCCGGGTCTTGCACTTACGCCGAACGACCTGATACATTTCAAACCAAATAATGGACTAGGCGTACCCAAAGCTATCACCAAATATTATTAAACCGACTGGGAGCAGGCGACCTAGCTGGCTGGAGGTTCCTGGAAGCGGTGGGTCCGAGAGTAAATACTCGTGAAGTGAAGACGGCGGCTGTTGAAACTATACCAGAAAGCCACCAAATCTGCTACCTGGAGGGGGAAGAGGGGGAGCAAACCGGGAACGCCGGCAGTTGAGGAATCCTCCGGGTTAGCGATGGAGGCAGCTCACCAAGTGCCACGCATTCCATCTAAGAGGAAAGGCTGTAAGTAGATACTTCCTCCAATCTATACCTTAAAAAGTGATAGAGCAAATCACCGCTCTCTGGTCACTCCTAACCCGGAAGAATAACTGCGGCTGCAGGGCAAGAAGCGCAAGTTCTATGCAGCAACTCATCATCAGATTACTCTGCTAAAAGAAGCCCGAATGTTTTAGGCTAAAGTTCAGCACGTATGTACGACAACATCTAGGATATAATATACAGGCTTGCCTTCCAGTACTGATGAGAGAATGAAGGTCCTCAAAGCAGTTCAACGAAGGGTTGGTTGTTGGTCTAGCCGACCTAACCTACGAATAGAGATTGCAACAGTTAAAACTGTTCAACCTTTCTCACAGGTATCTACGTGAAGACCTGATACTAATGCTCAACGTTGCAACAGTACCGGATCTCGCTAAAAAGGAGCTACCAACTCTTTCGTCTAACCAACATTTACGGGGTTAATCGAAGGTAGGTTACCACCAACAGTGCCAGGAAAACAGCAGACGGTTACATTTCTCTGCGCGAACCATATCTGCATGGAATGCGCTCCCGTTAGACGTTCTTACTGCAACCGTAACGCTCTCTTCCATGCTTAAGCTTAAAATGTATGTCGCAAGTCAGGGTTCTCTTGGAACTAGGAAAATCGAATACCCTGCCGGTAATGTTAAGTGAACCGCTGACTGGTCACTGCCGCATACCTGACACGGAAACCAGTGTAGCTTGTGTATTTCATGTTGATTTTTTGAAAATCCTTCCAAACCCATGATGATTTATGGTGACATAACTCTATGTGTGTGTTGCTTCTCTATTGACATTTCTCAATCACAAACACCAAAAATTATCTCTATCTGTTAATTCGAATTTGGCGTGAGCAGTGAATATGTGCGACTGTTTGGCTCTATCTTTACACCATATTTTGCTCGCTAGCTTGGGTGCTTTTGGCAGCATATTTGAGGTTTGCTTTATTGTACATTTTTTAATGGTTTTCGTAATTCAATACCGTAGCACAATACGGATCAATCGTGTTTTATTTTGGGATTCGTATCGGTTTCGGCTACGCGTCACTCAAATGCGAATTGATTGACATACAGTACTCAAATTGAAATCAAGCGACATCCTAGGATCCTTCGATAGCATCGAGGAAGCAATTTGATACATTTGGAGGGAAAGTTCAAGTTGAACAAGTTGATGTCCAACATTAGTCATGCAATCGATTGTATCCCAGTCGATAAGCGAGCACCGAGTCTCCGTGACTTGCAGGGAAGTCCATTATCAACAGACAGAGCACTTAATGTGCAATGAAATTCGGAGAATAACAAGCTTCCAATTATTGTTTATGATCTACCGCATATTTACCCCAGTTCATCATTCTCTGGTTTCCGCTATCCTCTTACGGGAATTCACCCCCCTTTCACTTGATCTATTTTCTTTCCCCTATCTGGGACATCAATGCTTGGTCTCTTAATGTCTGTTTGTGCAAATCACGCAATAAAATTACCGAACGGACGCAGCTCTTGAGAATTATTTTATTGGCATTCTTCTCCTGCCCGATTGGTGACTCCCATTTACTCCTTTTTCTGGAAATCCGTTACGTCTATCTCCCGACGCCACGTTTGCTGCCTACCCTTAATAACGTGACCATCGTCTGGTGTCGTTCCACTTGGCTGCCTATTCGCTTGCACTGTACTCAATTACATCATCTCCTTGTATCAAAATAATTGTTTCCAAAGACTACAAAACCGTGACAGCTTTGTCAAAAGCCACTGCGAAAAATGTACTCTTTTATCATTTGGACGAAATGGAGCGGAGTGATATTTTTGACGCCATGTTCCCTGTACACCGTAATCCAGGCGATGCGATAATTCAACTAGGAGATGAAGGGGATAATTTCTATATTATTAATCACGATGAAGTTGAAATTTTTCTAAACAACAAATACAGCAGCACCATAGGCAATGGAGGTAGTTTTGATAAGTTGGCTCTAATCTATGGCACACCGCGTGCGGCCACAGTCAAAGTGAAAAGCGAGGTAAAATTGTGGGGTATCGACCAGGACTCATAACGACGCATTTTGATGGGAAGGAAAATAGGACGGCGGAAGATATATCACCAATTTCTCTCACGTACGCACATATTCGATAATCTGGATCAATGGAAACGTTTGAGAGTTGCTGACACCCTAGAACCCGTACGTTTTGAGGATGGTGGTTCGTCAGGGAAAAGCCGGTGAAGATTTCTTCACTACCGAGGGAACCACAAAGGTGTTACAAAAACCACCCAAATCCATGGAACCGTTTAAAGGTCGTAAATTGCAACCCTCAGACTATTTCGGTGAGATCGCTTTGCCGAATGATCGTACTGGAGCAGCCACAGTCGTTGCGCAGGGTCCGTTGCGTTGTGTCAACCTGGACCGCAAACAATTTCAGCGTGTGATGGGTCCGTGCTCAAATATTTTGAAACGAAATATCGCCAGGTAAAACAGTTATAATTCTCTTGGTGTTCGAATGTTGTTCTTGATGAACGGTTTTCCGTCACAATAATCCATGTATATTTGTGGACTGGGAAAAACCTACTACTCGTTCCATCTATAAAGGTGTGCAATCCTGTGCTTTCCGTTCTTTTCCGTTGTTCTTAGAACTCAGTAACCTCAACTATTATTACCGTGCTCCACCTAGTGAATCCTTCTGTCTTTGCGTGCAGGCTCAATTGTATGAATTCCGAGAAAGATATGCATTTGATCCCACTCCAGCTAACCGAAAATACGGCGAATCGCGGAGGAATTCTGTCTTCGTTGGCCAGCCTTTACGATCCAATGGGGTTCGTCGCACCGTGGTTACTGCCGGGCAGGACCTCTGTACAGAACAGGTTACTTAGGATGAGACCCTATGCGAAGCGGATCACAAGACCTGGCAAAGCTGGTGGCTGAGCCTGTCCAAGCTGGACGAAATACGACTCCCTCGTCCCATACCAGGAATGCACAAAAGAGAGCAAAGTTAGTTACACGTT